ATTTCAAATAAATCCAAAACATCTTCCCTTACCTAATGGAATGCTCTTCCTATAGAAAAAATCGAAAATGGAATATGTGGAATTTTATTAAAAAAAAAAAAAAAATAAAAATCAAAACAATTCCTTTGCCTAGAAGATTAGAAATATTTTCTGTATTAAAGTACTCGTCTGAAAAATGGTATAAGTACATTTTTAATGATGTTTTCCTATGGAAAGTAATATAATTAATCAATGCCTTGACTGAGTTTTCAACAGCCCATAACCCCACTTAATCAGAGTCACTCAAAACCGAAGCTTTGACTGCACGTGCAGCTCAAAATTTTGTGATGTTGCCGCTGCCGCTGCCATCAAGGCTTTTCGCCTCTTTATAAGCTGACAGATCGGCCCAGGCAGCCCATTGATTAGGCATATCAGCGCTGGCCGGACAGCAGCAGCAGCAGCAGTCGGACGGGACCCCCCAACACCATGAACAATGCCAATGAGTGGCTGGAGTACGATCTGTACTCGTACGGTGCTGGTGCTGGAGGGCTGTGGCTCACCCACTCACACACTGTCCAAAAATTTAATTTATGCGCCGGCAATTAAACATGCATCATTTACGTTCGCCTCTGAAACGAGCGACATCGACATCATTCGACATTCAACATCCAACATTCGCCGGCAAACAGCAACAGCAACAGCGACAGCGGAGGCGGCAACAACGACACGCGGCTCCAGCTTCGCGAGAGACTCCACTTGCAGACCCACTCCAGCCCCACAGATCTGTCAACACTTGGCGCAACGGAAATCGGAGGAATGGGAGCGCATGAGCAACATGACATGGGGCCACATCTTGTGGCATTGTCCGTTCGCCAACGCCCCCCCGCCCGCCATCATTTGTCAATATTAACTTTAATTAGCGAATATTTCGTTGCTTTTGGTGGCTGCTGCTGCTCTTCTTCTTTGGGATTCTAATGAACAACAATTTGTTTTATTCGATTGGGGGAGCACTTACTTAATTTATGAAAAGTGCCAGAGATCGTTTATATTCATTCATTCATTTTTTGTGGCTTGTGGGTGGGAAGTGATTTCTTCTGGGAATGTGTGGGAGCAAGAAAAGATGAATTTACTTATTTGTGTTAAATATTTTTTAGGTTTTTCTTCCCATACTTTATTTCACATTTTGTTTATTTTTTCCAACTTTTAGCCATAAAAGCAATCAATCCAAATGAATTGAAATCCGCTTTGGCCATCGATTTGTGTCATGTGTGATGGAAATTAATATTTAATGATGGAATTGTCAACGCAGAAAGCTTTTACATTAATAATTTACAACTCATTTGACGCATTTAAAGCTACAGAATACTCAATATCAATGCAGTTTCAGTTTTAACTGAATGAAGAACACACAAAAATCATTTCAAATCAATGCACAGAAATCTTTTTACATATGAAAACTTTCACGTGTGGAATCTTCAATCTGGCTCAACCTCGATTTGCATTAATTGATGAATTTTTAATAGAACATTTGCCGGGAATACGTTTTACTTGTTGAACAGGAAGCCGAATAGGCCGCCTCCTTCTCCATCGCGGTTTCTGCTCATTTTTAGGCCACAGTGTGAAAGCAAATCAAATGTATGGATGGCAACAAGAACGTGCGAAATCTGAAATGAGTTGGTAATTTATTATGCAATGTCATGGCTTTCATGTGGGAAGGGTGGGGAAAGGGGAAACGGAAAGCTGGTGGGCTAATTAATGACCAAATGGATCTGGTCATGTCAGCGCTTATCTGAGGCGTCCGGCGACCAGAGAGAGATGGAGAGGAGTATTGACAACATTTGCCAAATTAATGCAAATCATGCAAACACCAGAAGATCCAACGGATGCCAATGAAGGGGATACCTACCGATAGCGATGACGATGATGATGATGATGATGCAAGCAAGGGTGCTGCTTGGTGCTCAATACCCGCCTAATGAGTCAAGTGGCCAAAAAGGATTTTCGGTGGGTGCGGACTGCGGTTTTGTATCTCTCTCTCCTGTATCTCTGTCTGCTGTCTACTGTGTCTGGTTCATGCCAATGGCTAAATCCCCCCCAAGCCAGATAAATTGTATTTTGGTAGCATTACCCGTACTGTGTGGCAAAATGTATGAATCACATGCCTTGGCATCCACTCACACACACACACACAATAACCTGGGGGTCAAGACAACACAGACAGGGCCACGGATAAGACGAGATGCCTGCCTACCGTACCCCGAGACTGGCAGAGAGAGAGAGAGCGAGATGAGTGGACCTCACAACAGCGACAGTATAATGCCATTTGCCTTTATCAATTCATCCATCATTCATCGCATTCACGCATTCATTCATTAAGTTCCATGGCCCATGGGCGTGGCGCTCCACCACACGAAAAGGTACGAGTATTCCTCATTGGCATTAATCATGTTGACAATTGCGTCGGATAGTCGTAATGAGTCGAAGGATGCGCGCGTATCTATGAGAGATACACTGATCGAAATCAATAAAAAGACTGCTCTAAAATGCATTTAAAAAATATTATTTTATTTTACAGATTTAGTTTGAGGGAGAAGCTAATAAATTCCCTTTAAAAATATAATCCCAATGTACCCATGATATCTTTCTGGGTCAAAGCAAACCTTTCAGTAAAAAGAAATTGCACCTTTGGCCATATTCCCTGCCCAGATAAGACAATGCTCTCTCTCAACCACAACCGCAAAAATCTTCAGAGGATATTGTCAGACGTCAACAAAACAACAATCCCAAACAACGCGAACAATCCATTCATAAAGACTCGACTTCAGACTCGACTGAAAAGGAAACAACAACGACAACGACAACAAAGTGAAAGAAAGATGGCTAAAAGATTTGCCCTTTTGTGAAAGTGTGAAATATTTACGAGAGATGCCCAATGAATATCTTTCGGGGTATTTTGGTGTGAGTATTTTGGTATTCATTTGGGACTCAGACTGGGGGGCTGAACGGCTTTCTGGCGAAATGGCCTGACACTTGACGTGGCCTGAACATGAGACAGCAGGCGGATCGAAGCGAAGCGGTGCAGCGCGGAGTGGTGCGAAACGCGTTGAAATACGCACATCCAATGGCCATAAATAAATGCGAAATGCATTAAATGCCACGAGCACCAACAACCAACAACCGACCAAAAACCAACAACAGAAACAACATGCAACAACAGTGACATGACGAACAACAAAAACAACAGCAACAACAACAATCGGCCACAACTTCGGGCCTCGATTCCCCGTCTCGATTCTCTCACGTCTCAGTAATTAATTAAAGCATTAAGTGCTAATTTTACGACAACTCGATTTGTGCGTTGTGCCCCTCTGCAATTCGCAATTTGCATGCTGCCACATCTCGCCACATCGCCATCGCCATCGTCATCGCCATTGCCGCACATCTCTCCGACATCTCGCCATCGGAATTTGGCAGACGAAATAAAAAAGAAGGAAGCAAAAGTGTCGTCCGATAAGGATGGAGGCGTGACACGAAACTCAATCGAGCAGATTAACAGACAGGAAATCACGTGCGGGGAGATGTTGCCAGCAGATAGAAGAAAGATCCTACTCACTAATCGATTTTCAATCAGAATACTTGACTACATAAATCCAAGGAGAACAAGTGTACTTTTTTGAGTTGTATCTTTGCCTCTTCTGGCATTCACTCACCCATCTCTAGGTATCGTTGCACCTCAAGAGATTTCCCCACCGCGGGCTGCGCTTCTCTGTGGCTGCGACTGTGACTGTGTCGACTGTCAAACGTCAGTGTGGAGTCGGCTGTCAGCCAGACAGTCGGCAGATGAAGACGAAGCCGAAACTGAAACAAGTTGGCCGGCGATCTTACCGAAAGCCTATACGTGTAATAACAACAACCACAACTGTTCAACATTTCAACTGTCGCCAAGATTTTCATCAGAGTTTTTCGGTTTTCTTCCCTCTGGCAACTCCCTCTGGCTCGCTGCTGCTGCTGCTGACATCCCGAATCGTTTGCAGTTTGCAGTTCATATTTTTCACTGGGCCTTTGTTTGCTTTGATGTTATTTTTAAAAGGGGCAGGGACAGGGGACAGGGGCCGGTGCCGCATAAAAATGCTCATTTGTTGCCGCTGTCACAGCGAGAGACTCCCTTGTAATTAATCATATGCATTTGCTTTCATTAGCCAGTCAACAGAATAGCCAGGAAAAGATACTCTTCGGAGAGTATCTTACAGATGCATTGATGGCATATGGAAGGATGGAACGATGGAACGAGCCAAGAGTCAGGTCCGTCGAGTGCTATGACAACAGAAAGTGGGTAATGGTAATTTCTTTGGGTAAAGATGGATGAGTGGAAAGGCTTGGGGCGAAAGAATTTCGTAATATTTCTGCGACTATGAGGATAGAATATTCCAATCCAGAATATAGTGAAGCTTCAATGGGAGAGAGGAAAAGAGATTTCAAAAAATAATAAACATCAAACATCAATTTGCTGATAACATTTTTGTGGTTAAGCGACTAATTCTTTTAGCAATCAATAAGGAAAAGTTTCCACCAGCTGTTCAAATCTCTCCAATACTTCTACTAAAACTTCCCAACTTGAGGCTATTTTTACATCCTTCTCCATCTCCAGCCAGTATCTATAGAGAATCGTTTTATTTTCGTGCCTTATTTAGACACAACAAATGCCAGACTCTTAGTCATCGCACCACACAATGGATTAAGGCAAAAAGTGGGGAAATAATGAGCGGATATTTATCAGTCGGACAGTCAGCTTTATAAATTTTATAGACGGCCATTAAAGGATTAAAACCGCACAGCTTTACTTTGCTTGGCTAAAAGTTCTTCCATCTTTTCGATTGTTGATCGCTGGAATTATTGCAATTCGTGGTGGGGTGGGGTAGGGGATGAAGGTAACGATCTGAATCATTTGCTTGAATGATCACAGACTCTACACAAAGCCGCAACAATAAATTTTTGCATTTTGCATATATGCAATATTTGGTCTAGATTTTCTCTTTTTCCAGGTAGCGCTGCCGTATGCTGTATGGAAAAGCCATTAAATTTGTAGCACAATTGTTGGCAAAAATGTCTATAATTACGGAGAATGGCCATGGCAACCGTGAGGCAGGCGGCAGGAGGCAGGAGGCAGCAGGAGGGTTGCACTCCTGCATTCTTGACTGCATTTCCGATTGTTCAGGATGTGTCGGTCCGGGTGCATGAGAGTGTTGGTAAAATAATTGGTTACGGCTCGGAACATGCCGTAGAGAAATCTGTAAAACAAATGAAATGAAATGAAATGAAATACATTCGATGTGGAATGGTGGGGGGTTGCGGGTTGCACGTACAACAACATATGATTCGTAGGGAGTGCCAGGGATTTGATTTCTCAGTTTTTATCTACGCATTTCCATTCCATTTCTGACGTCTGTCAGTCGCATTTTACGAGTGAGTACATGTATACGGCCTGCCTCTGCAGTGTGGTGCGTGAGAGTTTTGTTCAATTAATGCTTGTAAATTTTGCTTAGAAATCACATAAATTCTCTTGCTGTAGGTAAATTTTGTCTTGAATTATGAATTCAATAAATAATAGTTAGAAAATACTACATAGCTGAGATATTTGTTTTCGAAGAAGTAATTTGTTTGACAAGTCAAAAAAAATAAATAAAAAAAAAGGGCTGATTGGAAATTTATGTTTTTGTATGATGTTTTAATTAATGCAATAAAATAAATTTAAATAATAGTTTAAATAAATAAAAATATTGCAAGGCTTTAATAAATAAAATAAAAATAATACAACATATATTTATTATATGCATTATTTACTTACTATTTATTTATTATTTATTTACTATTTATTTATTATTTATAATATTTAAAAAGCATTCAGTATCCCGCATCTATTTTTCCCTAACCATATAAGATATGCTTCTTCCGTTTTATTCCTTTACTGCTAAGCCAAACTGGGAGAGAGAGAGAGATAGAGAGCACAGAAACGCGCGGAATTTTCACTGAAATTGTGAAATTAAATTTCTTCATTGAATTGTTCCGAATAGTAATAAGATCCCAATGAATTATACGATATAACAACTAAATATTTGCTTCTGCGTATATGGATTCAACGTATCTTCAGAATATACGTGTTAAATATTCCATCTAGCATATAAATAGCAACCAACTATCCCTCATATGTGGCCCACATAAAGAACTTTAGCACCAGATTTCTTCTTTCATTTCAATTTAACTCAATTGATGCCTTCCTTTTCAGATACTTCACTTCCTTATGCAAATGAATCTTTGGCTTTTTGGTTGATTTCGCAGGCAAAGATCATTAATATTAATTCGGGCAAATCTTTGGCCGACTATACTATCGCAATTAACAGCAAAACCACTCCCAAAATACACATCAACACGAAAACAATTCCCAGTGACATATCCGAGCTACTTACCAGCCGAATGACTTCAACTTAAGCCTGTTTACGCAATATATGTGATGTTTGCCCCACGAAGGAATGTTAATGCCACAGATACAACAAAACATATTTCGAGTCATTAAGAGAGGAGGCATCCTCCCTCCTTCCTCCATTGGCAAAACATGGCAGAAGGTGAACATCAATTTTGAAACACACGCACAACGCACTACACTCCTCTCCTCACCTCTCCCTCTGTGTGGCGGAGAGGCATCCCAAATCGATGGACACGCCCCCACATCAGAGCATACCATCAGCAGAGCAGAGCAGAGCATAACATATATCCCAGCCCATTGCTGATTTGTAGGTGTTGTCGTCTTCATCTGGGTCGTTTAGTTGGCTTGGCCCTTTCGCCGACTTACGCTGTGGCCACACAATTATGCTCATCAACATCCGTCAGTCGTCGTCGACTGAGCAGCAGTCGTCGTCGTCGTCGTTGGTGGAAAAGTGTTAAGTAATGAGTTAATCTGCAACAAGACTCGCATGATTAAGTGCTCTGGAGGCCCAGTAGGCCGCTGAGGTGGCGGTGGTGTTGCACGATAGGTGGGGAGGTGGCTGAGTGGCTCTTTAAATAGATTCGTTCTGTCCAGGGGTAAAGAGTACCACTGTACAGTGGTTATAGAGATAAAGAAATACATCTAAATGTGCTCGTGCATACATATATACATAACTTACTAGTTTCGTGTTAATACCTCTCTCTATACCACTTTTCTAACATATTTTCTGGGCGAGTTTAGGACTCTCTTAGGACTCTACATATGGATACAGAAACTGAGTTTATGGAAGGATTAAACGAAATTATGGCTCGAAAATACATTCTGAGGGGTTTTAAGCTATACACGAAAATACACGTACCTCAGAGAAAGAAGTATATGTGCAATGTGCAAAAACTATTAAAAACAAAGTAAATATTTTGGACTTTTTTTTTTTTATCTAGTATATATAAAAAAAAGAACAATATTATTTCCATAAACTTTAAAATAAACTAAATATTAAATGAATAACTTTCAATTCATATGAAATAAGTATATGTGCATTCTAAACAAAAATTAAAAATACTAATGAAATAATTATTTTTATTTTTTGCTTTTTAATAAATTATATGCTTTTTTTTTTAAGTGAAAATTTGATTTATCCGGGTGGGCATTGAGGTTGCCAAGCAGGAATCTCTGTTTCTAATTGATTGATATTTCATGGTACATCCTAAAATTGTTGTATAAATTAATTCAAATAATTTACAAGTAAAAATGAAGAGTAAATTGTACAAAATTCATAACAAAAACTTACATCACGTATAATTGTAGGGCAGATTTAATCCTTCAATCGGCTGAAAGTTGCCCACTGCCAAAATACACAATGGGAGGAATAAAAGAATCTAAAGACTCTTAACTTAATTCTGATGAAAATCGTACATATTTTATGGGTAGAAATATGGTAAAAGAACATAGATACGATAGGACAGATTATAATAGAGATTTTTGCATCGCTTATTGGTGGATAAACAACTGACACAATTTCCAGAGAAAATGCAGCGACTTTCTGGACTAATTTGTCCAATTATAATCCCAGTGGATGGCTTTTACTTTGCTTCCATACTTTGAATGGCTCGAAAGTGGCCAAACTACACTGCTCCTAATTACTTCATTGTGCACAAGAGCTGTGAATTAACATAATTTTGTAGTACCTTCACCAAACCCATTTCGGTATTAATTGTACTGCTATTATTATTATTATTACTACTCCCACATTTAGTTACATTTCTCGCCAGCGTTTTTCCCTCATTAAGTAATGTGCTCAATGCTTAAACGATGCCACTCCACTGTGCGATGCGCTAACTGATAAATTATGATTGTTGTGTGGAGTCGTCGTTTTGCTTGAATGAATGCGCCTGCCTGGGTCCCCACATTTATGGTGGGGAGGTGGGTGTGGGGAGCTGCGCTTATTATTTATCGCATAAATTGAGTTAATGTGCCCGAGATTAAGGACTAGCCAGCGCGATCCATTGGCCAGCCATTGATCATTCCGTTGTACCTTCAGTCCAGACATTATGGAGACGCTATCAGCATGGAGCATATACACCACTGTCCCTTTCACTGTCTTATCAATATGATAAATTACGATATAGATACTATAATAGGAAATGTGCGTGTGTCTATCTATGTAGGTGAGTGGTCAGAAGGGGGCACGGGTGCGGGCACGGGCACGCCACAGTAGCCGTAGCCCCATGGCTGTGATTGACATAATTGGGCGCACACCATAAAATGCGCTCACAAAGATATCCATAGACAGAATGTCTGTCTGTACAGTGGAATACATAGTTTATGATCGCCACAGACAATGATCAATTACAGTGGGCAATCTTAATCATAAATATTGTCAGTTCTGACGGCACCAAAAAAAAAAACACTAAAGAGTTCCACAAAAAAAAAAAAATATATGTATATAAAAAAAGTCAATGCGTTGATTTTTCTTTATGCCGAAACTCCAATTAAAATTGTGATTATGATGAAGCACACAAATGAAGCAGAAGAAGCATACAAAATAACAAAAATACAGCAAGAGAAACAAGGAGAAATCGAAGATTTAAATACCCTTTGCTGAGGGACTCGTCATATTTTGTTTAGATGTTAGCCCAAGTGGCCAAAACCCAGCAAATCTCCTTTGAAAACCATAATACCCCATATGAAAGTGTATGTAAAACAGCAATAAAAAGTGATGCAGTTATTCCATACGTTCAAGTAGTTGGAGCATTTTTTATTTTTTTGAAGAAGGTGAACACACAGCGAGCCATAAATTATAATTATCGACGAGATTAACTCTTTGCCGCGCCACTTAACTGCGATGACACACGCTCCCAAGACGTCCAAAGAAACAGACAGAGAAAGAGTTGCACAGAGAGAGTGAGAGAGAGAGAGAGAAAGAAGGGGAGCAGCGAGGCAGAGATAGCCAGAGAGGTGGATCTGTCCAGAAATCCCCACACAGCGCACAGCTCTGGTGAAAGAAAGCGACCGACCGCAGATAAGCAACAAAGACGACACTAAATCGTATGCGATAGCAGCAGCAGGAAAGCAGCAAAGCTGAAGAATGTGAGCAGGAAACGACTAAGAGATGACCTGTAATGGGAAATCAATAAACAATAAATTAATTATGAATCATGAATCAATAAAAAAAATGTATGTAAATGTTAATGAAACACACAAAATAATACTAATAAATGTACTATGAAGAAAAGATCTAAAGAGAAGACTTAGTAATGACAGATCTAAAGAGAAGACTTAGTAATTTCTTTGATAGATATACATATATAAAGATTTAATATTTATTACTCTTCCTGATACGATAGATAATACTCTATAATTTTAATTCTTTAAGGAAAATCACTTAAATAGAAAAGAACACTAAACAATAATTTCAGAAATTAATTTAGGTATTTGGCCAGAGATATGCTGATACTCTTCACTGCTTAAACTCTTCTCAATCTAATACCCTATCTTATTTTAAGTCGCTCCAAGTTGTGTCGCTCTCCCCCTTGCATATGACACATTCCCAGCCACATGAAAAACAAAAAAGCAGCCCACAAAAAAAAAAACGAAAGCAAAAATGCACTCGGAAAGGTTGAAGGGCCTCCCAAAAGGAAGAACTGAGGCTCGTACGGGAAGAACGAAACATTCTTTATTTTTTGGCGATAACTTTGGCTTGGCGTCGGCTTCTTCAATTGATATCTGCTCTCTGGACAAACAAAAAGCAAGAAGCTTGAAAATTTATGACCCCCTGTGGTTTTATCGACGCCTCTGCGACACAACCCTTCGGATGGGTCGGGACGGTCCGGGACGGTACGGTACGGTCCCCGGTGCGGCTTTGTGCCCTGTCCCCTGGTCTGTCGATTGAAAGGCGAATGAAAGATACGGGAAGGCAATGTTGTCGCGCAGCTAAACACAAAAACTATATTAAAGAGAAAAACTGAAATTGATGTGTGGTGTGTGTGTGTGTTTTATATCTTTGTATTTTTTGTATCTTTTTGAAGTATGAATTTGCCATGCTCTCTCTATTTGCCGTGACTCCCAGATTCGAGTATCGGCGGAGATTCTGTTCTCATCCCCAGATCAGACCCATTTCATTCAGTACTCACTTCATTCATGGACTGTGATTCGAGATGCCCTTCTACCCTCCGGTTTTCTTTTTTTTTTTGTCTCTTTTACAATATACTTTTGTATCTGTAGCTGTGCATCTCACTGTCTATCTGTATCTGCCTGTCTATCTGTCTCGTTGCGTTGGTAATTTTCAATTTTTATAGTCGTCTTGGGTCGCCAACACACTTGACCCGCTGCCAGACTGACTGCCAGATAAGGATTTCTTCTCCCTGAGATCGCCCTCTCTCTCTCTCTGTCTCTGTGGGATCTCTCAAGCTGTGCAAAAACTGCTGTCTACCGATTTATGACACCACAAAAGTTAATGCTTAATTATGGCAAATTGCAAATCGAGGCGCATTCATTCGCAGCAGCCACAAAACTTAACACGAATTTCATTTTGAGTGCATTTTGTGTCCAAGTTCCGTTTCCAATCTCCCAATACCCCAATCCCCCAGCCAGTGCTGGAAATATTTTAATTAGCTTCGACGATCATAAAAATACAGACGGGGGGAAGGGGCACTGTGAACGTTTTACGATCTGCCAGAAGCGGCAGCTTTAGCATCAGCTTCCAGCAGTAGTACGACGGATGTCGAAAGAGTTTGCACAATGAAACGCCTTAAAATCGAAAATGAAAAACACATTAAAATTTAATCATGCTCGAGAAGTGTTCGAACATGAACTGCCGCACTGCGCTGCTCTGCGCTGCCACATAAAAAGGGATCACGGATCAACGTTTTGGTCATGAAATCAAAGAGAGAGCCCACAAGCGGATTAGTCCACAAACTACTTTACTTTATTTTACTTCTACGAGTGGCAAGGCTTTGGCAAAATGTATCTGAAAGATGTGCAGGGGAGGATGTGCAGTGAAGATTTAATTTAGTAAAGATCATAAAAAAAAACCTTTTTGATTTGGTTCCTCTATTTCATTTTAGCTCTTCGGTGGATCTTCCATCCATCTTCTTTTCATCTTCTGATCTATTGATCTTCTAGTTCAGCTGCCGAACCTTATACAA